CGGTTTCTACGTTATGACCTCTTTTGATTGGTTAATGTTGTAAGCCTAGGAAAAACCTGTCACGCCCAGCCCCTCCTTCTGTAATTGTGCATAAAAACTGCTTGCTATACTGGATCGGGACTCTCAAGCTCGAGCCGCTGTGTTGGTTTCAGTTTGTGAGCCTAGACTCGAGCCTGAATAAAGACTCTTTTGTGTTTGCATTGGAGCTGGCTCTTTGGTGGTCTCTTGGATTTAGAATTTTGGGTTTAACAACATCATATCATCTCAAAGGGTATATACTATTAATGTGATTTAACTGATGATGTTAACTCTGAACATCTGGCTAAGATAATCTTTGTCAGGTTTCTCCAGGATCTTTGTTCTTTTCATGTTGTACTCTTTGGGAGGAGATTATTACTGATAGCTCACACTTCAGGAGCTGGGAGTTATGCTTTGCCTCCTTGATGGTGGAGAATCCATGTACATTATTTGGAATTCTTCTGCATGTGAGACTTGTCTATTATCCTTCACTTATTTATTCAATCATGTATTTATATCAGTATGGAGTCACTGATACTTGTTTTATACTTTGGGTTATAATCCAACGCTACAGTATGTATTTTGTGACTTGGACTGTTCTAGCTTTGGCAATTGGAAGCTCTTTCGGTTGGCTACTGTGTCCCTTTGATGTACCTCCGTTTTGGGGGACAATTTTCTTGTTTTTTGGCACTACAAGATACTCCAGGCCCATGTTGTATATTCCCTGCCCCTGCCCTAGAATTAGCCATTTCCCCAAGGAAACTTGGTTCCTTTTTATAAGATCTTTATTTTATAATTTGGAAATATAAATAACATAATAAATGATGACAAAAACCAAAATAAAACAAAAAACTGACATTTTATATGACTGATCATTTCCAGGCACAGCATTTATTAATTAATATAGAAAGCAAATTTTATTTTTGTCTACTTTTTTCCAGTTTTGCATGAATGCTTTCTGGGAAGCTTGAGTTCCTAAGAAAATTCCATAGCTATACTGATTCCTACAATGTGACTAAATGAGGTAAACATTTGGCTCCTACTGGGAAATAAATTTCTGTCCTTGAGGTTCTTGAACAACTGCCTTAGGCAATTTTGCCCATAGAGGGTGATTCCTGATGGTGACACAGTACTGGAAGGAGCCATTGGATCTGGAGGCATCATATAGGTGAAGATGAAGGAGTTCCCAATGACTTAATGACCACATTGGATGGTAAAGTTCACTTACAGGATACACATGTAGTCAGGTAACCCACACTAGGTCCATCAGCAAATTCTGTTATCTTGACCTTCAAAGTTTGTGAACCTCTCACCATGACCATCATTACTATCCTACATCATGTCTTCATTATTTCTCTCAAGCGACTATTGTAGTATAATAAGATCTTAATTGGTCTCCCTGGTTTTGTTTTTACCTCTCTCCAGTCTATTCGTCACAGTAGCCCCTGCAATCTTGTTAAAATATGCATCGTTATTCTGTTTTTCAAAGCCTTCCAAAAGTTGTCCATCTTGTTCAGTGTGAAAGTCAAAATCTTTGCAATGGACTACAAGGTTATGATGACCTGGTCCCATGACTCCATTATCTCTCTGACCTCAACTATATGTACTCCTTCTCTTTTCTTTGTTTTCTCTCATCTTGTCCAGAGAACTTCTTGCTGTTTTTTAGACCCTCTAGTTTCAATAATTTTAAGATCTAGGATCTATTTTCAGAAGTGAAGGAAAACACAGTAGCTGCAACTAGCATAATAAATAACAAATAAGAACCAAGTCGTGTTTTTTACTTTATTCCAAACTTTTTGTTTATCTACGCATAGTCTGAAGCAGCTTCATAGGTTTCTGTCATTTTTAGGGAGTCATATAGTCTCAGAATAAAAATAAATTAATTGTTTTCTTACCATTTCTTCCAATGACCTGAAGAGCAGAGATGAGTGAGAGGCAATATTTATTCACTGAGTATTCCAATTAAACAATTTTAGTAGTGCTCACTATATTATCCTTGTGCCGGGTGCTGGGGATATGATGATAAATAAAGCATACTTTTACTAGGGGAGGTAGAAAGAAAGAGAACAGGGAATTTAAACAAGCCTACAAGTGCTGTGATACAGCTAAGCACAGGTTAATAAAGAAATGCATTAGAGGAGTGGCCAGTGGGCTGGGGTTCAGAGGAAAGTTAGGCTAGAACTTTGCTTTAGGTAACAGAGCTCATAATTGGTTAAGGATCATATTCTAACTCAAGCTGTGCTAATTTGGCACCTGTTCTCAACCACTGGAGTGCGAGCTTTAGATGAAAAATCTTCAGGTGATAGTTATTTAAGGTATTCATATTTTAGAGTTGGAGGAGGAACTTAATTTGGATGTGTTTACTTTAAAAAGATGTGATGACTTCATGAAAGACCTTACTGACTCCTAGGACCCAAGCTGCATTGTTTCTAATATGAGTCTCAGCTCCCCTTCTGGTACTACTACAGGAATGTAGCAGGAATGTCTGAGTATATTTTGATTCCATTTCCTTTATTTTAACCAAGGTTGTACTGCAAAAGAAATATACACCTCTTCTGCCAACAATTTTATTTCTGTATTTTCTTCCATGACACAAAACCTTTTTACATTATTAGAAACTGCTGGTCATATGTATCTTATTAATAGATTTAGAAACATTAACTAGATATCACTTTGGTAAATAGAAGTTATTTGCTGGGAAAACATTTTTTTAAATAATCAATATATTTTATTATGATGTTGTGGGGTACAGTTAAGGGTTAGGTATACAAATACGTTTCATTCAGGCACCCTATTGATAAGAGGTGCTTCCCCATCCCCAGACAGATATTTGCTACTGTTAATCCCATCTCCCTCCCCCACCCCATAGTTTCCCACTACTGTCAGTCGTTTTCTTATAGTATTAGGTTGGATGTTCAAGGTTCATTATATGAGTGAGAACATGTGATACTCGGACCTTTGTTTTTGTGAGAGGTCACTCAGTATTATAGATTCTAGTTCCATCCAGGTTGCTGTGAAATTCATGATTTTGTTCGTTTTTATGGCTGTGTAGTATTCCATCGTGTATATGTACCACATTTTTTAAATCCAGTCGTCTTTTGATGGGCACCATGGTTGCTTCCAGGTTCTTGCTTTGTGAACAATGCTATGATAAACATACGTGTGCAGGTATCTTTTTTATAGAGTGATTTGAGTTCTTCCGGATATATTCCCAGTAGGGGGATTGCAGGGTCATATGGGAGGTTGATATTTAAAGCTTTTAGGAATCACCACACTGCTTTCCACAGAGGTTGCACTAGTTTCCACTCCCACCAACAGTGTAGAAGTGTTCCCTTTTCCCCACACCCTCTCTAGCAGCTGTTAGTTTTTGAGTTGTTGACAATTGCCATTCTGGCTGGAGTTAGGTGGTATCTCAGTGTGGTTTTGATTTGCATCTCCCTGATGATTTAGTTTTTGAGTTGTTGATAATTGCCAGTCTGACTGGAGTTAGGTGGTATCTCAGTGTGGTTTTGATTTGCATCTCCCTGATGATTAGTGAGGTTGAACATTTCTTCATATGTGTGTTGGCTGCTCGGATGTCTTCTTTTGTGAAGTGTCTGTTCATATCTTTTGCCCATTTTATAATGGGGTTGTTTGTTTTTTTCTTTTCAGCACGTTTGAGTTCCTTGTAGATCAAAGATGTTAAGCCTTTGTCTGACCTGGTGTTGGCAAATATTTTTTCCCAGTCTGTAGGCTGTCTCCCTGCTCTCTTGATGGTTTCTTT